TTTATATATTTGATAGTAATTTTTTTACTCGGCAAGAACATAGAAGCCACAAGAAAGTGCATTGATGCATTCGCTATATTCACTATATTCCAATCAGGAAAAATACCTCTCATTAATGAAGATGAGATAAAGATTCTCAAGTGGATTAAAACAGACTTATACTAAAAAGAATTTCCAGTGGATACTTATAAAATATAAGGAATAGATAGCAAAGAATCTAATAACCATATGAAGAAATCAAAATTAATATCAAATATATAAAGTAACTAATAATGCCTTAGTTAAATATGTATATTTACCTAGTTTCCCATTACAATGCATTATAAAATAGTATATAAATTAGGATAAGAAAATGGAACTTAAATTTTCTAGACTCTTTATATTATGTGAGAAAAAGAAAAACCCATTCATTTATATTAGACTTTGATCAGCAAAGACTGAATATAGACTTTGATGGATAAAAAGTAAATACTAAGGTGATGCTAGAAGGTAAATTTAAAAGCCCCTCGATGGTAGCATAGAGCAGTTTTGTGACAATGAGATAGGGAAATATTTTTTAAATAGGACACGGAAAGACTAATCATGAGGAAATTAACCAATAAATTTATTATGTTAAAAGTAGAGGCTAAGGGTGGCAAGATGGCTCAGAGGGGAAAGGCACTTGGTGTTCAAGCCTACGGACCTGAGTTCGATCTCCAGAATCCACATAAAGTTGGAAGGAGCGAAGGAGAGAATCAACCCCACAAAGTTGTCCTCTAACCTCCAGATACATGCTATGGCACATGCACACACAATAATAAAATTTAAAAAGTAAACATTTTAAAAGTAGAAGTTTGTTCATTTGAACAACGATAAAACAATGAAAAGCTGCAGGGTGGGAAAGGGTTTGTAACATGTATAACTAACAAAGGACTCATATCCATGTCTACAAATCAGCAAAGAAGACTCACAGCCCAGTAGAAAATTGAATGAGAGGTTTCAACAAAGCATTCTCAAGGGAGGAGATCCAAACTACCTTAAATACATGATACTGTACTCAGTCTCAAACATCATGAAAATGCTTATTGAAAGCACAGTGAGATACCACTGCACACAGCACAGTGGCTTAAACTGCAAGGACTGACAATACCAACTGTTGATAAGAACATGGAGTGAAAGGAATTCTCCCACGTGCTGGTGGGAATATAAATAGCAAGCATTTTGGAGAACAGTCTGGTATTCCCCATATGCAGCAATTCTGTTCATGTATGTGTGGCCCAGCAAAATTGTGTTCGACACATTATAATTTATAATAGATCAAACTAAGGTAGGTCAGTCTGTCAGTCAAGGGATGAATTAGGGGTTATCCTTACAGTAAATTACAGCTTTGAAATGCTGTACTCACAAGAAATGAGTTTAACTAACCCTTAGCAAAAGAAACCAGATAAGAAAATATAGATTCTGTAAGATTTGTAAGAGTCCATTTATGTAAAGTAAAAAAAAAAAAAAAAAGACAATAATGCTAGAAATCAGATGGTGGAGGACTCGATGTGTAGCTTAGTTGTGACGTGCTTGCCAAACTAGCAAAGCCCCTGGCTTTGAATCCCAATAAGAAAGAAGGGAGAGGGGAAGGGAGAGAAGAAAGAAGGGAGAAAAGGGAAGGGAAGGAAGAAAGGGTAGTAAATACCTTTGAAAGGAAGAAAAGTATATAGATGATTTGGAGAGCATATGAGTGTTTACATAGAGGTGTTCGATTTGAGATTATATCAGGCTATATACCTAAGGTCTATGTATTTTTCTGTGTGCAGTTCAGTTTAAAAGGTAATATTAAACAAAAATGAAATTGAGAGTCCCCTTTAGCCTGTGAGATTTATAAGGACACAGATTCATGATCTGAGGAATTGTTGACCTGTCTCTTACCCCAACAGGGTCTGAACTAATCTCTTAACAGACTGACTAACAGACTGAGTCTCATTGAATATATGTGGGATTCATGGCATAATACACTAATGAGTGAAATGTTTTAATGTTCCCAGGTCAAGAAAACGACAGAAGCTACCCTGCAAACGATTCAAGATATGGTCACCATTGAGGACTATGATGTGTCTGAGTGCTTCCAGCACAGCCGTTCCACCGAGTCTGTGAAGTCCACTGTGTCTGAAACCTACTTGAGTAAGCCCAGCATCGCCAAGAGAAGAGCGAACCAACAAGAAACCGAGCAGTTCTACTTCATGGTGCGCCCACTTGTTGCTTCCCAACCACCCAGGGCTACTTCTCTAATGGCTCCAGAGTCACCTGAGTTCCTGATTTATCCAGTCTGGGTAGAGGTTAGGAGTCAGGCTTTGTGGGGGCGGGCTTCGACGAAGCTCACCACAACTTATGGGAGTTCAATAGTTTGACATGGGGATGTCTTCCTCAGTCACTCTTCCACCTTTTTTTGAGACAGGGTCTCTCACTGAACCAGGAGCCAGACTGTCTGGCCAGTGAATCCCTGGGATCTGCCCCGTTCTGTCCTCTCCTGGTCACCCCCACCCCTAGTGCTGGATTACTAACACATGCTCCACACCCAGCTTTTTCTTGGGTGCTAGATATCTAAACTCAGGTCCTCATGCTTGCACAACAAGCACTTTATCCCCAATTCAAGCCAGGCTTTTTAAACTTTCAGTTATATATATATATGTCACGAGGAGAACTTGCTAAAATGCAGGCAGTTTCAGCAGGTCTGGGGAGGAAGAGGCCTGAGTCTGCATCTAGAATAACAGGCTCTCAAAAGATGGCTGATGCTGCTAGACTGGAGGCCACACTTTGAATAGCAGAAGTCTAGAAAACACAAGACAGATGAGGTGGCTGGGCTTTCAGTCTTCTATGGGAAGTTCCTTGACACCAAATACCTTGCCTTTTGCAGAAACTCAGAGAATTTTTAGAAGGCAGTAATCTCATCACAAAACTTCAAGCCAAACATGACTTGCTGCAGAGGACTCTTGGAGAAGGTCAGTTACTTAGAGTAGACGGGAAAATGCTTTGAACTATGTGTTGGGTTGTGAATGTATTCTATGAAGTGTGAGATGGGTATATGTGGTTTAAGAAGCAGACAATGCCATCCATTTAAGTTTGGGTTTATCTGTTTCTCTAATAATCCTGTTCTCCCTGGAACATTTTTTTCTTTTTTTTTTTTTTTCTGTCTTTTTAAGACAAGGTCTCCTTGTAGCCGCAGCTGGCCTGGATTCACTAATGGAGACCAGGCTGGCCTTGAACTCACAGAGATCCTCATGCCTCTGCTTCCTGAGTGCTGAGATTAAAGGCATGCACCAATGCCATCCATTTAGGTTTGGGTTTATCTGTTTCTCTCTGATAATCTTGTTCTCCCTGTAACTTTTTTAAGCTTGGAAGTAAACTTGATAAAGTGTAATTTAGGGAGGACTTGCCTCTGGGGAGGAACTCACACCTCTGACCCCCCAGTCACTGCTTCCTCCCCTTCTGGGCTTCTCCACCCTCCAGCTCCACCCCTGTTTGCTTTAATGGGCTGGTATTTGTTGTCCTGTTTGTTGCCTTTTGGGATTTTAGAAACCAGTTCATCTAGTTTGAGTGATTTCCTTTTTCTTTCATTAGGCATTGTTGGTACTTGGGAAATGATCTGGTGGTAGTTACTGATGGCTATGTCTAATAACAATATAAACACTAATGCACACTGGGCTTTCTCAGAACCTGGCATTGCTCTGAGCTATATTTTTAACTGGTGTCTGTTCATTTCCTTATCATTACAAATGAGGAAACTGAGGGGGAAATGGGCTACAAGCAAAGGGGACTGTGTAAGCATTATTGGTTCTTTTTCTTCTCATGAAATTTAATAAGAAAAATAGAGTCAAGCAGAATGCTGTGTAAAGTGTCTCAGAGTCTGCAACTTTAGTTTGTCCTTTAGTCACACTAGATCCTGCTGGACGTTATAAAAAGTGAAGGTGACACAGAAAGGGGAGGGGAATGAGAGGAGTGCATGGTCTGATGGCTGAGTCCCCCAAACACAATAGTGTTTCTATCACCTTACCCACAGTTTGCACTGAAGAACCCATCCTCCTCAGGCAACAGCCATAGGCAAAAGGTTGTCATGCATGACCTCAGGCTCTAAGCATCACACAGTTAAAATGCAGGGCTCTCCAGGATGAAGAGCCCTTAGTTACACTAAGAAGAAAAATAATTAACTATTTAAAAAAATCCAAAAAATAAAATAACCAAATGTAATGTGTCAACTGTTACTAAAGTCTCAATTAAAAGAACAGAAGTTATGAGATATTTTAAGCATAGTAGGAAAATGAATATAGGCCACATAATATATGATATTATTGATTTATTTTTCCCATGATAATGATACTGTGGTTTATAAAGAAGAATGTTCTTATTCGAAAAATGTGGCTGGGCATGGTGGCACATGCATTTAATCTCAGTACTCAGACAGTGAGTTCCCAGCCAGCTAGGCCTACACAGTGAGACTCTGTCTTTTAAAAAAAGGATGGAGAGGGGGAGTCAGCTTTTTATCTTTGAGTAGTTTTCTGAATAATCATGACCTAGTTGTGGATCTTTTTCTTTTTCTCCTATAGTAAATTTGGTTTTTCTTCCATTTTCTAAATGCCCAACATTTCAAACAATATCCTCAAGGCCCATTGCTGCCCCCAGAGCATAACTTCTCAGTGTAGAGAAATGCTTTGAATGCTTTCAGACACAAAGCCCTTCCCTACCAGACTGGGTGCCATTGTAGAAATAGTGAGTTTGAGGGCATTCTGTCGTGAGTGTGTCCACTCTTGGCACTACATTCAGGCAGACAAGTGTTAATGTGGCTTGGAGCCATATTCTGAAACTTTTGTGGTAGTCATTCAGCAAAAATTCTCGTATGTCTCCTAGAGAGGGAAGCCTTACTGGTTAATGTTATTCTCCAAGTCGTTCTTGGATCAGGCTACATTTTGGCTAGTGGGCTGAGTCCATGTGCCAGACAGAGGATTCCTTTATCTTGAGATTTCTTTTTCTTTCAGTGGGCTCCAGTATCCCCATGACACAGCTGTGAAAGGATCTAGTTGGTTTTCACCTGGGGCAGCAGACACAAGCTGGGTTCAGACCTCTATCCATAGTCCAGCAACTCCTGCTGGTTTGACAGTACATCAGCTACCCACCACTGCTGCAGGGTTTGACATTCTGAGAAAAGCTGAGCATGGGAGGCATACCCCCTTTTAGTTCAACCATTGTGAGCCTCCTGGCTTTCCATACATGCCCTGTTCTTGTTAATAGGCTTATACCAAAGGAGACTAGAAGAGATAATGGTGCCTGTCCCATGGTTAAACAGTCTAACAGTAAGTCCTTAGGAAGGAATCCAAGTCCCTTCTGGTTAAATAAGGTTAGTAGTACAGGATTAAGTGGTGTGCTTGGAGACAGTCTTGACTTTTCAGATAGAAATCATGTCTGAATTATACAGGACTTGCTGCTGCAAAAACTGACTTTATAATAAAACAAATAGAACCTAGCCCAGGGATTGAGCAGTTGATCATCCACAGCTGAAACTGTAACTACAGACATGTGTTTGGCCTGCTTTGCCACTCACTTTTGGCAGGCTACCAGTGGCCCAGTCAGTTCTTTGATTTACAACACGGAGAAACAACTAGATCGTTTTCTTAAAGCAGCACCATCAAAACTCAGGGTTCCAAGTCTTTGAAAAGCACTGAAATAGAAAGAAACACACAGGGAGCTGTGAACTCTCTTCCCTCAGCTACACCCCTGTATCTTTGGGGGCTATTATTTTTTTTTAATTGGAATTAAATCAACCAAAGTAAATGAGAGGTTTATATATCTATAAAACTGGGACATTGAATTTTTTCCAGTAACAAGCCTCCCTGTTCACATTGGCTTCTGTGCACAGCATTTGGAACTAAGAAGGTGGAAGGAAGTATCTGCAATTTTGCTAAAGAGAAAATCTGACAGAGGGAACTGATCTCTGTACCACATTGTTTCTTGTCCTGGACATAAGGTTCCTGAAAAAGGAATTAAAGCGGTTATCTTCACATAATTGGTTGTCTGTCTTTGAGTGGGAGTACAAATACACTTTCAAAAGAGAAGCAGACTGTGAAAAATTAAAGCGTTTTACAAAAGCACCCCAGTAGTTGGTATTGTAAAGGAAGGAAAAAGCCTGGAAACCATTGCCAGGGGGTCTTCATCAGTCTTCGTTAGGGAATAAATCAAGGGTGTCTTTGTCCCATTCCGGCTATGCATATTTAAATATTTTTCTCTAGCTTTTTTTTTTTTTTTTCTTATCTCAAATTGCTACCAACCTATATTTTGGAGATAAAATGCATTTAAGTATGAAAAATAATTTACTTCAGAATTCTCAAGTAAAATGTCAGCGAAATCAAAGAAGTCACTTCTGTCAGACTGTAATCCTAGCACTTCGGAGGCAGAGGCAGGAGGATGGAAAGTTCAAGGTGAGCCTGGGCTACAGAGCAAGACCCAATCTCAATAACAAGAGCTAAAAAGAAAAAAGTAAAAGAAATATAGTCCAAGGATGTGTTTACCAAAAAAGCTATTAATCCTGGGTCATTTGTTTTTTCATCTGAGTGACTTATATGGAGAGAGGAAGGAACAGTTCCTGTAGTTTTTAATAATTAAATAAGCTTCCAAAGAAAGGGATTGAAATGTAATCCTCAGACCACTAGAAGCTTTCAGATTTTTCTAGGAAGGAGAATCTTCTGTGCTTGTGTGTTATTGATCTATTAATGATGCTGCTGATTAAAAAATAAAACCTCATTCATCAACTGAGACACACTCAGGACTGTTTGCTGGAAAAGCGCCGTGTGTGCCAGTGAAACCTCACCATGGGTGATCATTCATGTAACGCTCACTCTCAGCTCATTATTCAAAATGTATCTTTCATAGGTTTTTAATTTTTTATCTCATACTATTAACCATCAAAGGACAAAGAGCAAAATAATTTAAGCCGTTTTATCTTTCATCTTTTTCTAAATCTAGGAAATAATTGGTTGGGATAGTTGAACAAAAATAGCAAAATTTCCAAGATACAAAGCACTTCATTTTTAAATAATTACCAGCATCAATAGCACTGAACCACTTTAAAGTGATTAGACTGTGTTACATAATTTGAATATATAGATACTTGCTAATTCACATATTTGCATATTCATGTGATTTAAATTTTCATTGGATTTTTCATCATTTTGTATTTTATTTTAGTCATATGGGGCAGACAGAAGTATAAGCCTTGATCCCTTCCCTTCTAGGATTGTTCAGAGTATTCTCCAAGAAAGAAAAAAATGTAGATTGGGTGGTGGGGGGGTATGTCTTTGTTCATGTTAATGTGTGCACATGTGCATGCAGGTGCACATGCATGTGTGGGCACATGGTTGTGGAGGACAGAGGTCGGTGTCAGGTAGCTTTATTGATCATTCTCCACCTAATTTTTTGAGGCAGGGTCTTTCACTGAACCTGGAGCTCACCAATTGACAAGGCTCGCTGGCCAGTAGCCTCCAGAAAGCCACATTCCTCTACCCCCACTCCCCTGTACCCCCTTTCATTCTGGGGTTACAGACATTTGCCACCATGACCAATTTTTACCTGGGTGCTGAGATCCATACTCAGGCCCTCATGTTGCGTGGCAGGTATTTTACCAACTGAGCCATCCCTCCAGTCCTGAAACTTACCTTTTTGTTTGTTTGTGTATATGTTTGTTTTGGTGGTGCTGAGGATTGAACCCAGGGCATCATGCGTGCTTGGCAAGTGCTCTACCAATGAGCTACACTTCCAACTCAAATCCTGTGTATTTCAAGGTAGTGTAGTACAGGGCTTGGGATTTTCATTCTGGAGTTAAAACAGCCCTCAACCCTAGTGCCAGACCCATATATACTAACATAGTCTGGGGCAATTTTGTGACCATATGTGCTCAGTCTCTTTTCTAAAATCAGAAAAGTAATTGAAGCTGCTTCATAAAGTTATTATGAAAACTTGCCACATTTAATACACAGTGTTTGGCCAGGTATGGTACTACACACAAATAATGCCAGTACTCCAGGGACTGAAGTAGGAAGATCATGAATTCAAGGCCAGCCTGAATACCAGGATTACATAGTGACACTCTGTCTCAAAATAAATAAGTAAAATACATAATGCTTAGAACACTTTGCAGCACTTGTTGCTTACTTGATATTTATTCGAATAGTATCTATTTTTTTCTATTTTTAATGTTGCTATTAATATATATCATACTTCTATGTCCTAATAAAACAGACAACTTGACAATATAATACAGCCACAAGCCAGTCAGTTTCTCTACCCTTAACTCTTTGCTCATTCTGCTGATTCCCAATGGGTGATCTCCCCAGCTCCAAAGGCCTCAACGCAGCCAAAATCATCAAGATTCTCGGCCCTGTCTCCCCTCTGCACCCTAACCCAGTCTAGCCAGCTTCCCACTGGACATTGCCATGAGGGTAGCCGTAAGCACTGCAGACCACACTCAGCTGTGCCTGCCCCTCTGCTGTCCAATAGACCTTTGCTTTGCTTGCGTTCATGAAAAGCTATAGCTATAGAGTTTTCTGTGCATCGTTCCTTTGTTCTCCAAAGTTGCAGAAAGCCACCAAGAGGAAGGGACATGTCATTAAATAAGTAGAGCTGGGTAGAGGATGGGGCAATCAGACTAGGCTCCTTTTCTCTCATCCTCACTCCAAGTATAGCCAAGAATTGATTCTGCCAACATTTGCAGTGGCTTGATCTATGTTGAGAAAGGTATTCTCTGATAATATCTGTTGTCCCCTGTTTAATCAATCCATATCAGATATTTCATGTTACTTATTATTCAGGTAATGGAGTGGAGGACTCTGTTGTGGTGTGGGCATGTTCATTCCCCATTCCCACCAGCGAGCTGTTCTGTTGACCTTGCCCTGTGAGTCTGAATCACTGTGTTATGTGATGGGCAGGGCTCACCTGTCTGTGCTGCAGCCGGGAAATCATTTTGTAAACAAACCAGCTGAATGATTCCCCTCTCCCACACCTTTTCCCACTGTTCACCCACAATAGAAGAAAGAGCAGACAGCAACCATGGGCACATGCAAACTTGAAGTTGATACAGATTGTGAACATGCTAGAAAAATTCTGCCCTGTTATTTAAAATAAGTCAAGAAATGCATGTGTATAAGAAGCAACTGATGTTTTTGAGGACAGAACTCTGTGAAAGGTTCTTAGCTTACAAGTTGGTGGAATGTAATATAATTTAATGTCCTTGTGTATTATTATCTATAAGTGTCATTTCAGATTAGAGAACACAACTGTTCTCCCAGTCCCCTGATTTCATATCACAGAAAGAATACCAATTTAGTCTAAGGGAAATTGAGTTCTCCCAACCCAATTTGGCCTCCTAGTCCTCCCCCCACAAGTGTCAATCAAAACAGAGCAAATAACTAGCATGGGAATTCTAGATGTGCTTTATTGTATTTCTTTGTATTTCTTTGATTTAAAAATAAAACCTTCAACTTGCCAAAAGAAACATGTTTCTCTATTCTACAGAATTTATTAAATATTGGATTTAGACTTTATGAAATATTGACTTTGAATTATTTGTTTCCATGTGCTTTCACACCTTGTCTACCACAAGACTAATAATTTATTATTAAATTCAGCATCTTAAGATAAGGGACAGATGATACAAAAGATTGTCAAGTCCATTCCATCATCGGTCCAACTTACTGGTTTTAATTTGCTTGTTTGCAGGTCACAGAGCTGAATATATGACTACAAGGTAGGAAGGTATTTTATCATCTGTAGTATATCGGCTTTCTTTTCTCTTTAACAAAAACAGCCATTTAATTGTCACCAAAATGAGCATATTCTGGTAATGAACATGGAAGTTAGTCTGGGCATGACCAAGCACAGCACCATGAAATTCTCAGGGTTCTCACCAGGTGATGTGAGCTCTGAGCTATCTCAAGTTTTGCCCTGTGGGATGACAAAGCTATGTAATGAACAGAGTCAGTAACAAAAGCTTAAGTTGAGCAGGCTTCATTTATCTGAACTGAAACACATTAAGTTTTAGACAGACTGACAGCACGTTTGACTTGATGATTTAGTAAGCAAACAGCTTTAGCCAGTAGATAGAATTGGTTACTTCTACCTCTTACTTTGTTTTATGTAGTCTAAAAATTAGAGCTATATTGAATTCTCTTGTAATTTTAGCTCTCTACCTGCTTTTGAGTTTTCTTTAAAATTTTAACTTAACACCCACCACCTTCTTGCACATTCTTCCCCTCACCCATTTGTGAAGGATTTTAAAGCTACTGCTTGGACAAAAAAGCCATTTGGGAAGCAGATTCAGACTGGAGTGGGGGAACGTTTGTGGCAACTTTTGTTTCTCTGACTCTTTTTGTACTACAGCCAGAAATCATACTAGTTGACATAGTAAGATCTGGAATGTTTGAGGATTAGTTGTGTTGGAGGTAGGATGCATGTAGAACATTGGTGAGCCTGGCAAGTTGATTTTCAAAGTTTCATGCTGTTGCTGTTGGATAATTTACTGATAGCAAGGCCTCTTCTTGGAAAGCCTACTGGAAAGAGATAGCTACTGACTTTTCTAAACTCATCCAAAGAAAACACGACTGAAGTTTGTCTTCACTTTGTCAGTGATGAAGAAGAATATTGCCTCTTCTTAGCAATAGACTGCCCAGGAGGATAGTTCATATATGGTATCTCTTTGTTCTAACAATTATTTTACCTTTTCTTTCTAGGTTATAATAATGTAAGGTGCTTAAATATTTAATGAAAAGAAGTTAGATATATTGATGTGCAATGAGAACTGTAATTGCCAAATAGAGATAGTCATATCAACTTGACCAGAATTTTCTATCATGTGGGCATTGTATCTAGGAAACCACACTACCAAAAAATTGTGTTAGGGACAGACCAGAAGTGTCATCCAGTCAGTGTGGCAAAGCTGGTGCATCTCTGTCCAGAGCCATGGGCACACCAGTCACCTCTGCCACAGAAAAGATTTTGATGAGCATTCAGGTGTTTCATTCAATTTCAAGTCCCTCTCATTACTTTCACTTCCCTACATTTCCTCATACTTTAGAGTCTTTGAGACAGGCAATTTCCAGGCCTTTGGTAGAAGTCTCAAAAGACCTTCCTCTGTTAGCCTGGCCAAAGATTATCCTTTCTCCCAGTCAAGTGTGGATTACCCAGTGCCACTGGAGGCTTTGGCTCCAACCTGCTATGTGAATCAGTGACCATACAAATTTTGTTCCTGTAGCTTTGTCAGCTCTGTGGCTATCAGCAAACATAAAACTATTAGACCCTGTAACAACCATATCTTCTAGTTCCTCTATCTGGTGCCTTGATACCCTAGGCCTTGCCAGCCCTGGAGGGGCCATCTCCCCCAGAGTTAGCCAATTCCCAAAGATGGTCAGAATCCCTTTAATATGCAAGTTAACTAATCCAGGGCCCCTTCTCTAACCTGCCTGTTTCATCTGATTCTTAAACTCAAGGCCAATGTTCCTCCTGCCTAGACACCCCAGGTCCAGGTACCAGATAACTGGGAACAGCCCGAATGATGCAGAAGCTACCAGAATCATTCAAATTATATACAATCCTATGCTTGCTTTCCCTGCTTTTCCCATTCTTCCCATGAAAGCCACAATAAAGAAAGGCTTGTGCCCACATTTTCTTCTTCAGCCCTCTGTCCCTGACCAGTGTTTGAGCTGCCCCCTGAAGCACCCACTCCATGGCAGAATGCCAGCATACACCTGTGCCTCTGGGTGCTATAACACAGTCTCTTCGTGGACCTCCTGATCTACTGGCCTCACCAAGCCTGAGTAGAAATTTGAAGTCATTGATAAAAGAATGAAAAATGATGAGATCGAGGTTGTGTGATTAAAGTCTTTGGTAGTTAAATGTTTGGGTTTTTCACACCAATCTGATCCCTTCCTCCATGAATGGCACAGAATTTAATGTATAAAAGTCTTCAGAAATGACAGCTATGATGGGGCACATAGCTATAACATGCTGCCTGGGGGAAGTTTACATATACTTCTGTTATTTTCAAAAGCTCCTTTTAAGTTCCCAAGCACCATGGAGCTTAGGGTGCTGGCTATATACCCCATTAGTCACAGGAACCTTCTTGCTGAGAGAGTCTCAGTGTTTATCCATAAAAGGCTATATCAGCAGGTTTGCTCCCTAACACACACATGTTGATTTCTATGATAATACCTTATTCAACTCTTCGGGGTTCCACATAAATTCTTGGGATTTTGTTTCTAAACTGGACTTTCTGAACTTGAGAAAAATGAATTTAAAAGGTCATTCTTCCAGAGACTAGCTAACCGAAGGGCTTTACACAATCTGCAGGTGTGATGAGCTTTTTCCTGTCAGCTTTGCAGCTAAGGAGGTTAAATGGAAACATCAGAAAACAGGTCTCCGGGCTCTCCTTCCACTAGCACAGATGTGATAGAAGTTGAGTCCAAGAATCTTGGTCCTCTTCCATCTGCCTCTCTGCAGTTACAGTGCAAGATGACTGATGTAGGGTTTCCCAGAACAGCACCCAGCACAGTGGACATGCATATGTCAGAAGGACTGTCTTACCCACCAAAGCAAGCAGACAGGAGAGTCCAGAACAGCACAAATGAATGTAATCTACTGCCCTCCAAATATGTGGGCAGTGGCATTGTATGTTCTATAGAAATAATTCGTGTGTGGGCCCCACCATCTGAAACCACATTGAAACCAAACCCTAATTTTCTTAGGTGTGACCCATTAATAATCACTTCTGCATAAAATAAAATCCTATTAATACATGGGGAGCACTGAACAGATATGATGTGGCCTGCATTGAAGAATTATGTTCTAACTAAAAATATTATTTTTAATTTCTCATTTGGAGATCTGTCGAAGCCTTTTTACAATTAGATCTTAGTATGTGACTCTCAAACCAAATAACAAGAAGCTAGTTTTATAGCATTTAGCTAGACAGCTCATGATTCCATTTGGTAATAATTATCTTTTTTTTTAAATAAACTACAGAAAAAATACCAGATCTAGCACCTATGAAAACAGCAGTCTACATGAAAAGCTCCTAGGGTGTTTGATACATATATAAGAGTGAAGCAGTGAGAAAGGATGGATGTGTTTTCCCTGTGGGCTGAGGTGGGGAAGGAACTCGGGATCCCCTGGTTTTGTCACTTTGGTATGACCTATGGGTGTTTCATTTATTGTCTGATTTCTGCCATGCTCAGTAATTATATTCCCTTCCCTTAGGCCTCCAAATGTTCCCCCTAAGCCCCAGAAACACAGGAAATCCAGGCCCCGCTCCCAGTATAATGCTAAGTTGTTTAATGGGGATTTGGAGACCTTCGTCAAGGTACTGCACCAGCCCCCTGGGTGGCTGACCACGCTTCTCACTGTAATGACCCCAGCCTCCCACAAAGGGAGGCAGGTCATTATGTCCGAGTCTGTCCTGGGCTCTTTGCTTTCCCAGAAAATCAATATAATATTTCCTGAAGTCAAAGAGGAAAGAATATTTGGGTTGAGTGCCTTTAAGAAATAAATATGAATGTTATCATGTGGGCAAAAGAAAAGGCACTCTTATTTTTCAAAGCCAAAATTTATATGAAAAGAAAAGAGCCCTGATGAAATGTTTTATCCTATGCAGTTGCACAGAATGCACAGTGTATATGTTTTAAATCCATGATAGGCACACTATAAAGTACAGAAGAGTCTGACTTTCTCATGACTTAAGGAATTCATTATATTGGATTGATTTTGTTTGGCCCTGAAGTCTGTATCTTGTATCTCTGCTGTGTTTACTCTCTGTCTTCTTTTTCATCCTGTATTTCTGGTAATGCTTCTAGCCGGGGACGGAGGAACTCGCACACAAGACATCAGGTATCCTGCTGGAGGGGGTGAGGGCACAGCCTCTGTCGCCCGGGTGCCATTTGCAAGTCATATTCACGCTTGGCTTTCATTAGATGTTTTAAGGTCTTTAAAAGAAAAGTGTTTGCAGTTAGAAGTTAGTTTATAAATAGATTTTACTTAGAACTGTAGGAAACAGACACTGATTTAAGATGGATAGTCTTCACTGATAAAAATGAGTAGATTAAACCCAGTTTTTGCCTTATGTATTTGGCAAATGTATCAAATTTGATTTAGTGGTGTTTATTAAGGAAAGTCAATGTTAAATACCAAATACATATATAATATTGGATTCTGGATTCTGCTGTAAATTATACAAAAACAGGCTTTCTTTCTCATGTATAACATTTCATGACATGAAATGAGATATTTTTGAAAACTATCTTTATATGGAAAAGTCACAGTTATGATATTCTTCTTATGTCCCATAATTGGTATGTTAGAGAAATCTTACCTTCTTTAAAGACCGATCTATTTATTAAATTTGTATAGTAAAGACTAAGAAGCTTGTGTAAATGTGTGCTTGTGCCACATGTATGGCACTTTTATATACATGCATGCAGGTATGCATGCAGAGAGAGACAGAGAGATTAGAAAGTTCCAGCAGCCTTAAAAGTGAGCCCTAACCCTGGAATTAAATGAAAAGCCACTGAACAACCTAAACAGCAATCACAAATCCATTGCCTTGAGCCTTAAGCCCTTATTGTCTCTAATTTAATATAAAATTATTGCCAAATTTGATTTGATGATCTAGTTTCCCAGCCATGACTTACAAGCAGGGGCAAATTGGATGGAGAAAGGAAAACGATCAAAGGAAAGCAGTGGGATGTGCCGCTGATGGCCTGGCAGGGAAGGAGAAGACAGGGAGCCTCACAGAAGCAGGGTATGATTCTGCTCCGTGTGCTCATACAGCCTGAGAAAACTGCTTAACATAAAGCACATCCTCGAGTTTTTAGAAATTGTTCATTAAGAATTAGTTAAAGGCAACCAAGCTGAGGCACTGAGGAAGAAATGAGGCCTTTGTGGTGACAAACCCGCTGTATGACATCTGTGCCTGCCTTTGGTACCACCAGGAACCCAGAGGCATGGAAATCTAGAAAGTGCCTTCCCCAATAGCACCATGGGACTGCAAGAGCAAAACTGTTTTCTTACAGGGAAACTGAGACACAAAGAGATATGTTTAAATGACAGTAGTTGGAAGGCAGCCCGCAATTTCACTCTTTGTAAAATATTTTCTACCCAAACATCCGGCATCCATGAAATTAAATTAAAACACTCATAACTTTTTCACTACAAAATTCACCATAACTGAGTGTCATACTAATCACTGCTAAAAGATCAGCAATCTTCTAAGTGAGTATGTAAAGACAATGTCTAACATATAATATGAAAATGTAAGACTTCTTTGCAGAACTTTCTTGGTGCAAACATTTTTCTTTTAAGAATCTTTTATTCTTTGTTTTAATACTAAGTTCATCAGAGATGAACTAACATTTTCCTTTCATCACTTACATTTAGTGTTTCTTGCTCTTTTAAATTACAGTGTTAGATGAATTGTTCATAAAATGTTACTTCCACTAAACTGTGTTTGTGGCTTAGAGAAAAAAAGCCCCTTCATCTGTTCAGTAAATTTTGATGCAATTACATGGCTGTTCATGAGCCAGGTAGTCTACACTAAAATGTGTTTTATTTTTAAGGCTCTTCTTTAAGGAATTAATAAAACTTCTCCTAAAACATGTTAACTAATTAGAGAAACCTAATACGGACTCCAGAAGTAATTGAAACATTAACTGGTTTATATACTGATTCAATTGTCTTAAAACTTAAAACAAAGACTATTTCTTCAAAAGTGCATTACCCACTCTGGAAACAGTAAAAATGGATTTAGTCTGCAGCTCTGCATTATTCCCAGTCTTGTGTTCACTACTGAATTGGAAGTTACTGGATACTGAATTATTCCAATATGTAAAGACCAAGTTTGTGTCAGAATAAAATTCCTCAGGAACATATACATGATGTCAGCTAATCTTCAAATCCCATGTTTCCTTGAAAACTCTAATTCCTGAAAGATCAGTCTTAGAAGCTCATGACAAACAGCCCGACCTCGGCAGCCCTCTTTAACTCCATGGAGTGCATGGCATTGACACACATTTAACTAGCCTCCGCAGCCCCTCCATCTCATTTGTCATCCTACACACATTGTTTTTAAAGCATTTCCAGCATTTTCTTAGCTGAGGGTGGTGATCATTTTACAAGATGTAGACAAAGAAAGCCAAAGCAGTCTTCCTTCCCAAGAAAGAAATCGAATGGAATGTACATTTGTGCCATTTTTGGCTTTATCTTAAAAAACTGCAAAATCTGTAAGAATAAGTTCTGATGCAAACAAAGTAAATACATGATACATTTTAGTTATCTATGAGACAGTTTGCGACTGCACCATCCAGGCGGCGTAGTCTCAGGGATGTGAGGAGTGGGTCCCGAGAATTTTCAGAGGTTCTCTCAGGACAGCTTATCAAACAGAAGATGCTGCTCTAAAAACACAACATTCTTCTTAGCTTCAATAATCACTGATCCCTTTGAATAATGACCTCTCAAAAATAAATTATTCATTTAGGCTTGTAAGCTTCAATGTAAGTTGAAAAAAAAAAGTTAGCTTTTTGGTTCTGTTGCTGTTTCTTTGAGACGAGACTCACCATATATCTGTTCTGGGCTCAAACTCTGGATGCTCCTGCCTCAGCCTCCAGGCTATGGGGATCACAGCCACCACTCCCAGCAGATTGCTTTTTGGCATCCGTAGGCATAGCAAGATAAGTTGAAGCCATATTCCCTTTTTGTATTAAATGTATTTAATTTAGTTTGCTCCAGAACTAAAATATGCCTCTATTTGAATGTAAATTCTTTCACTCTTTTTGTCATTGTTTTAATACTTTGTGGAAGATATTTAGAGGGATAGATTTGGAAAAGATAACCTAACAGGGCAAAAAAGCACTCTAATTACTGTTGAACTGGGAACCTTATTTCTCTGTGCGAGTTGGCCCTCTCCTCTAACGTTACCTTTAACGTCATCTTTTTCCCCAGGACTCAGGACAGGTTATCCCTCTCATTGTGGAAAGCTGCATCCGGTTCATTAATCTCTATGGTAAGCATTAACTGTAGGATTCTTATCTAAAAAGAAGCAGTAGGACTATGTCAGTAAGCCTGTCTTTCTGCTGATATTTTATTCTTGGAGAAAAGAGACCTGAATGAAGGATGCGATGGTGTTCCTCACACTCTTCTATTTGCCGTTAGGTCTTCAGCATCAAGGGATTTTCAGAGTGTCTGGTTCTCAGGTGGAAGTCAACGATATTAAAAATTCATTCGAGAGAGGTAACTGTGTGTCTCTACCATAAGCAAAACATGTTTAAAAGTCATCATCTTCTGTGTTCTGCAAGGGTGTGTTCATTTTGTATAGCCCCAAATCCTTTGTCTTGTGTTTACTTCATTGTGGCTGCTAGGAAATGAGTCTTTATTGTAAAAAGTAGAAAAGCATATGAGCTTCGTCCCATCCCCTGGCTTAGGACTGACTGATTATTCACTTTGTATGTGTCAACTTGGTGCCTTGACAGGGTTCTGGAAGAGAGAAGGCAGAGCTGGCCTAGGCAGCCCCAGGGGCAGGAGTGTGTGCCAGTTCCTCTCCACTGTCCATCTCACCATCCTCTGACACCAACTTTTTCCTTCCTCTTATTCCCATCCTGTGCCCCCTCCCTGTGATCTGAGTTGGTGCCTGACTCATATTCCTAATTGGCTGATATGTAAATTCTACTAAGCTGTTAATTAGGACAGTATAATTAGCATAGCCATGTACTCTACTGTCAGGAAGACCTAGAATCAAATCAGAGTCTTGTGTATTGGTATTGGGATTTGGGTCAAGTGACTCCAGTCTTAATTTGGCCTCTGTCTGCAAAACTGCAGGATTGTTAAGAGGTTTAGATATGATCTGTGAAAATGCCTAACCCGTTAATGATGCGATTGGTTCTGAATGCTCTCCGGTTTGCTTTGCACTTCTGGGTACACCTGTGCCTTCCCTCTGCTTCTAGATCAAAGGAGAAATGCAGAGTGATGGTGTTGTGGAGAAGCTCTGTCCCGTTTCCCCTGGCCAAGACTCACCATTAGAGCCTTTGTAGTTTGAAGCCTTGGTTAAAGAGGCAAACTTGGCACCCTACTTTTTTTTCCAGTTCCAAATTCTCTGCCCAATATGATGTGTGGAGCAGAGCGGTCTCCCACCAGCAGCTAAGCACACCATTCCACATACATTGATGATGTTCAGGAGGTCAGGTGGAAGTGCGGTGAAGTATGAGGCTCCTTGCCAGCCACCACAGACCAATGAGAGCTTTGTTATTTTTCCTTAGAAATTCCTCTAGTGTCTGTGTCTTATTTTTGAATGTTTGGGTGAGGTTTTCTCACAGTGGGCAAAACCAATAATAATGATACAAGTAATTCTGGTGAGTTCATGTTCCATGATTTCCTGCCCTAGAAAATAGGGAAGAGAGAATAAGAAGTCCCTGAAAATAAACTGCCCAAAGACCAACAACATGTCAAACTATAAAGGACACTTTTGTGAAATTTAGAAAGAATAACCAGACCTGTGAACACAGAACGGAGCTTGATGTAAGGCTGTGTATATTGCTGTGGATTCTATCCCATGTTGTTTCTGAAGTATTCTATCCCATATTAATTCCCAAGAAGGTAGAACACTCATCCAGTTAATACCTTACAACCACTTACCATGAAGGAAACTGTAATTTTGTTTGTGATTTGATTTTGTTTGGTTTTGTTTCGTTTCGTTTGAGATAGGGTCTCCCTATAGCCCCAGCTGACCTGAAACTCACTACGTAGACCAGGCTGGCCTTGATCTCACAGAGACCCACCTACCTCTGCCTCTGTACTGACATTAAAGATGTGTGTCACCTCACCTGGCTATATATGATAAATTTCTTAATTACTCACTTCATTCAAGCTCCTGGATAGAAGAAAACATTTTCAGGTTCCCTCCCCTGATCTCAGAGTCTCTGGCTGTTCAAGGCAACTTTCATATGTATTGTAAACACTACCATGCCCCCTGAGAAACACCTGGTTGTTTCATTGCAGGTGTTCACCATTAGTATTTGATATCTCTGATAAATTTTGCTGACCCACGCAGCATAACCAGACCAACCTCTACTGTATCTTTTTCTCAGTGGGATAAGAAACACAGAATGTACTGGTTTTTTAGTTCATGTCAAGCTAAGATTACTGATGTTAGCTTTAAGAAAATGCTGGGTAAAATTATAAATCCCACAATGTTTTATTTTAAGATTTGGGCAAGTTGTAAGGGAGTGTTTGGTAGCATAAGCTTTTTTTTTTTTTTTTAAGTTTTATTTTAGCCAACTATTTTTAGGTTAACCATTGGGTGGGATATCTAAACCAATTATTTTAATTTTAGTACCATATAATCTTTCATAGAGCATAATTAAAAGACTCGTGTGCTTGTGCATGCATGTGTGTGTGTGTGTGTGCGTGTGTGTGTGTGTGTGTGTGTGTGTGTGTGTGTAATGTTCTTGTCGAAAGAAAATAAGAGAAGTCGTGTGAATGAAACAAACTCTCTATATAGGTAAAAATCCTGTGGCGGATGAGAAAATAAGAGAAGTCCTGTGAATGTAACAAACTTTCTTTCTAGGTGAAAATCCTTTGGCGGATGACCAGAGCAACCACGACATTAACTCTGTGGCTGGCGTGCTGAAGCTCTACTTCCGGGGGCTGGAAAACCCCCTCTTTCCTAAGGAAAGATTTAATGATCTGATTTCTTGTATCAGTAAGTGGATCTCTCCCTCTCTCTCTCTCTCTCTCTCTCTCTCTCCCCCCCCCAACTTCCTTGAAAGGCAACTGCCTTCATCCTCCCACCTCCTGTGACTCTGTCACCAGCAAAATTCTGAGGCCACTTGTTTACATTCCGGGTCCAGTGTGAGTCACCCTCCCAGCTGTGGCCTCACCCTTAGCTAAATGGGCTTTGCATCTGAACACCTTAGGTTCCACAGATCCTGGAGCTGACCACTTAGATTCTAGGGCAAAAGCAGAAAAGCAGGTATCAGTCACCTGAATGCGGAGAAAGTTATCAGCATGGAAATGTAACCATTTCACCCTTCATTTTCTCAGTCAGTTTTGGAAGTTAGGTGAGTACTCATTTTAAATATTCCTTCAAGAAATAAGATAAAATAAGATAAAAGATCATTTTTACAGCACAAGAACTCCATGTGGTAATTATCTGTCATGGGTATCCCAAGGCCATATGGCACACTGTGTGTGATATATTATGAAACTAGTCATCATCAGCAAAACATCGCTGTTTTCTTCAGTGGGGGCTTTTGATACCACACAAAGGAAGTTGAAACTCATGACACCAAGAATTAGGTACTAACGCAATCAGATTCCATTCATCTAAATAGAAATACAGAGAGAGTGTCTCTCTAAATCCAAGTCTAGAGCTGACTTGGATAAGCTTTTATCAGAATCAAATTTCACTCTTAAAGAAACCTCACCTAACCCTACCGCTCATCTCACAACTCAACCAGTCACCTGAGTGATGTCCTATTGATTCAGCCTCTCTTCTCATCCCTGCTTCCCCACCCCTGTTTCTCCTAAATGGGTTTCCAGCTCCCAGTTTGCCCCCTGCCTCCCATCAGCCAGTTTTAAACAGGGACATCTCTTTCCCTTGCTAAAAACCGATGTCAGTATTTCCTGAATAAAAACATACTCCTTGACACCAGATGCTTGATACCTGATTTATTTCTTGTAGTTGATCTCTTCCTACTGCACTGCCTCCCCTGTTTGCCACTGCTGAATATGGAGGGCAGACGGTATAGCAAACTGCACACATGCCAGCCACTTCCTGTCTCCATGCTTTTGCCTAGGCTGTTTCCTCTGCTCACCTTAGTGAAGTGCTGGCCTTAGTGTTTCACCATGCTGTGAAGGCTCTGCTAAACTGGCAGCACTCTTCCAAGACTGCTGTCCTCCCTCCACTTCAGATGGAATTAGTCACTTTCTTTTACTGATATTCTACTATGTACATCTGTGTTCTTTTTTCCTGTTGTCCCACACTGTACTTTTTAAGCCTCTCTTTCTCCTTTTTCTCCTTTCACAAGATAAAGAGTTTAGTATAGATGTCAGGCATGCAGGCTCTGGACTCAAGCAGCCTGGGTTCACATCCCACCTCCTACACTTGCTTTCCATCCATGTGACAGTAGGAAAATTTCTTTAGCTTGCTGCACCTTGGCTTCGTCATCTGTAAAATGAGCAGAATATTAGTCAGTCCCCCAGAGGATGGGGAAAACTAAATGCGTTAATTCATGTCAGGTACCATGCCCACCAAAGTGCTCGGTGCAGTGCCAATGATTAGCTCTACAGCCAGGGAGGCCTGGTGGAGGGTTCAGTTTTGTAACGTACACTTGCCTACAGGTAATTCCACATACATAGTAAGTGTTCAGTTCATCATTGTTGGGAAAGTTTAAGTGAAGAGTCAAGATTGCACCAAAAGTTCTTTGGATGGCATCTGTGTCTAAATTCCTGGCTCTGGTTGTATGTCAGTTCCTCAGTTGTCATCCTCCCGTGACACTCTGGGGGATAACTGGTGTGAATGATGTGTTCATTCCAAGGTTCGTTCATAGCGTGAATCATTGTGGTAGACTGCTGACCCAGCTGGAAAGAGCCGAACAGGAGGTGTCTCACTTCTGGAATTCTTCTTTGGCCGTGTCCACACATTCTCCTATATCTTTGCCAGAAATGTTAAGTCTGGAATGGAAACCTAAGCCCTTCTGCAGGGCTTAGTGGTTTCCTGGGGACATACATCACATCAACTGTAATGCACCAGTTGGATAAAGAACATGGGGCTGCATTTCCAGTTAGCATTATTGAATCATTTCACATTTTCATGGATGAGAAATAGTATTTCATTGCTGGTATTAATAACTGAGGTCACCAAGTCAGGAAGATTTAGGTTCAAATCCTAGCTTGACCAGCTTTGTAAACTTAGGCAGAGATTAATACTTGATCTTATTAAATGCCTGTTTCTTCAACTTCATAGCATGTATGTGAAGAATAAGTCCATATAAACTGTTTAACATCATA